AAACTTTTTGATTTATTGAAATCTATAATAATTATATATAATTTATATATATAATTATTTGAATATAAGAAAATATAAAATAATTAATATTTAATACAATTTAAATACAATATTTAATAAATAATTATTTTTTTGTTTTTTAATTGCAAAAAATAAAATATTTACTATTTCTTTAATAGTAATATATAATAATACATTTTAATAAAATTAATTTTAATAATTTAATTAACAATAAATTTAATTATTTCTAAATTGACAACAAATTCAAAATATATTTAAACTTTTTAGATATTTCCAGAAATATTCTCTAAATTGTCTATTAAACCAAAAATAAACTAGCGTATAGAATTGTGTTACAATTAAATAAAAACAATAGTATACATATATATTGGCCGCTACTAGACATAGATTATCTAAATTTTTCGTATAGTTTGTCCTAAAAAATTAAAATACTTTTTTGAATGCATCAATAGATTGGACATAAAAAATACCGATATTTGCAATACTATGCGTACAATGATTTTTCGTTCATACACTGGTTGGTCCATTTTCATATAGTTGTATACGCTTGCAAACAATAGGCGCGTACACTATAGAATAGTATTATCGTAGCGGGTATGGTCAATTGTAATAGAAATCGTACGATGTTGGTCGATTTTAGAAACGTTAGACTAGTGGACAGGTAGAAAAAATAGTGATGCCTATAGTTACTATAAATAGTATGTTGGCATAGCATTTGGCCAGTTGTATAATCCATATAAATTATATGCGATGTTATCGTAAACGGTATGGCCAACAGTAGACTGGCCAAGCAAATTGCTGAAATAATTAGCCGATTAGACAACCGGTCCAATGGGTTTAGGTGTGTAAATATTTTTGTCAACGATATATATATGAATCGCATGATAACAGTGCCATCGATATGGATGTTACGTATTCGGCACATGTATTGCACGCGATGGCCAACGATCTGATTGTATATAATAGTATTGTATATTGTAATAGATTTCTATTATAATAATAATTATAATAATGGATGAGCACCGGTAGATAAATATAATACGAGTAGGTGTTAACAATTTTCATTATCAACTGTGCTATAACTATATTAATCATCAATAGTTTTGGACGTCTATTTGATTGATAATTATTATTATTATTATTATTATTACTGTTGGTATTATTTTGTTGTCTAAATGAATTAAACATAACTATAATTATAATAATATCCGATACGATAAACACTGTTGTGATTATTAATAATATAATATTAATTATCAAATCAATGGATTTATTTTCTAATAATACAATAGTAAGCGTATTGTTAGACATCATTATACTGTAATAATTTTTTTTTGTTATTAAATAGTAAACTAAATGTTTAATAATATTATATAATATAATTTTTTATATATAAAATATAAAATTCACGTTTAGTTAAACAGTTAACTAAATCTTGTGTAAAACATTAAACCGTATTATTAATAAATTTTATTTATTATATTTATAATATATAATATGTAATAATATATAAACATAAAAAAACTATTATTCAGTAATCATTAATTTTTTACAAAATTCTTGATAATAATAAAAATGATAACAAAACAATAAAATTAATTATCTATTTATTTAATTGTTTTAATTATTTATATCCTTAATTTATTAATAAATTAAATAATATATTGATATAATAATAACACATATTGATAGTAAATATTTTATATATCACTGATTTATATGCAATTAATAAAAAAAATTAATTTATTCATAAATAAAGGATATATTTGTAAATATAAAAATAAAATAATAAAAAATTAATTGATTTGTTGTTTTTGTACAGTATTTTATTAATACATTATTTTTATTAATGCACAAAACAATATATTAGTAAAAAAAATTATTGCTAACAAAATATGTTTTATTATTATTGATTAATATATCGATAATTATAAATAATAACTAATTGTGAAAGTTTTATATAAAAAAAAATATTATTTAACAATTTATTTTTTAAATTTAAATTTTAATGGCTACCAATACAGTGACCGTTTTATTTGGAAATAATTCCATACAATTGATTATAATTATATTGATAGCAGTAATTACTACAGTGTTTATAATATCGGATATTTTAATAATTAGAGTTATGTTGTATTCATTTAAACAACAAAATAATGCAAACAATAATAATAATAATAATTCAAACAAACGTCCAAAACTATTAATGATGAATATAGCAATATCGCAGTTAMTATTGAAAATTGGATGCACCTATTCATGTTTAATTTATCTACCAGTGCTCCAGTATGCCAATCTACCTGCACCTACCTATACAGTCAAATCAATTGGCGTTTTATGCGAAAACTGGTCACTGTATGTAACATCATTGTCGACGGCACTGTTAGCCACTGATCACTATATATCGATGACAATGATATTCACACACCTGAACCCATTCGATCGGTTGTCTACTCGATTGCTGATTATTTCCATTTGGTTGGCCAGTCTACTATTGGCCATACCACTTAGTCTGGACAATGTAATCATTTATCTAGACTATACAACCGGCCAAATAGTTTGCATGAATAATATCAGTAACTTTAGTTCAACATATTTTATACAACTAACCGATGGTTATATATATCGAAAATATATTATTACTATCAGATTTGTATTGCAATTGATGGTACCCGGTTTGATAGTACTATTCTATTCGATACGCTTATTGTATACAATGGCTTACAATTATATGAAAAAGGACGACACCAACACAACAACAATCATACCAAATAATATGGATAGCATTGCCATACGTATATTTTGGCAAATTACTGTATTTTTTCTAGCTAATTGTCTGATGCAAAATACAATGATTGTCTATTATTTTACTAAACAAAATTATCCAGCTACTAATTCAATGATATTTGATCTATGTACTATAATTGCCGAAACTGATTATTCCCGATACTATTATTGGTATTTAATTGCCAGCGATTTCTATACGTTAATCTATTTTTGGTTTAGCCGTCAATTTAGAGACTATTTTTGGAAATATTTGAAAAGTTTTCGCATTTTAAATATTTTGGGTTAAATTATTAAAATTATTAATTTGTATAATTTACTGTTTTTTATTTAAATTTTTATACAATATCATAGATATAGTAAACATCTTTTTTTTAAAGAAATTAATTAATAAAATAATAAATATAATATCATATTATATAATAAATATATAAAATAACAACAATAAAGACATTATATGTAATTCACATTTAAAGGATGTATTTTAATGACTTTTTTTTGTAATAAACAAAATAATTATTATTTATTTTATTTTTATTATATTAAAAAATATTATTATATTTTCTTATGTTTGTACAGTATTTCAATTTCAATAAAATATATATATATTTTTTAATTATAAATTTAAACGATTATTAGCTAATCATTTGTTTTACTATTACAATATATACTATTTTTGTTGTTTTATTAATTTATAAAATTTTTGTAATTGTAAATTGTTTATAAATAATTATATAAAGTTGCTTATTTATAATAATAATAATTTTTTTTACCTAATTACCAATAATTTTAATGTTAATGTTGATCAAACTGTTATAAAAGTATCTAGGTGGCACAATGTTAATAAAATTTTAGTTATACCAACATAATTATTATAAATAATTATTAATTATCATCATCATGATCAAGTTTAACATAAGTTAATTAAATAATCAATAATATTATTAATAATTCAATTATAGTTATTCTAGTAATATCTTAATAACTAATTATCATAATTACAATACTATTGTAATAATTTAAGTAAATTTTTGTTTTAGTATTTTATTTGATTTATAATAGAGTTTATCATTAGATATTGAATACTAAAAAAATTAATTAATTGTTGTTTATAATTATCATAAATAAATAAATTAATTAATTAATTAAATTAATTATTTCTGGTTTTTAATAACTTTTAAACATAACATAATGCATAAAAAAATATAATTAAAACCCAAAAAAAATAATTATTCAAACATTTAAATATATGACCCAAAAAAAATAAATAAATGGATAAAACAATTATTGGTTATTTGGACTCATTTCTAGTAAAAAAAAACTAATATATTTATATCTAATTTTGATGACTAACTATAGGCATAACATAAGCATACAATAAGTAGACTGACCACCAATTTTTTTTAAATAAACCTATATATATTAAATGTTACAATAGTGTACTTTGACATGTATTTAAATAACTATGTGTATATAAATTTATATTATATAAAAATATATGTAAAACATTAGTTGATTTTTACGGCAATTGTAATTACGCACCAATACATTAAAAAACTCATTGTATTTTAAAATTATTATTTTATTTAATTATTAAATTGTTATACATTTGTAGTTAATATGTTGCAGTTGTAAGCACTGGCATATATAGGGATTTAAGTCAATAGATTGACCCATAAAATAGTCGGCAGTTATTTGAAAAAGTAATAAAATTATAGAAAGTAAAATATTTTCTATTATTGGCATAAATGTTAAATTTTTGTCTATTTGTTAATTAAATTATTACTTATTTTAAGTGAAATATTTCTATATATAAATTATCATTAAATATAAAGTAGATATACTTTACATATATATTTATAATATCATAAAATTAAGAAAATTAAGATATAATTACATTTAAAAAAATTGAAATTTTTAAAATTTATTTTGAACAGGAACAATTTATAATTTAAAAAAATATATTTATCTTAAATATTTAAACTGTATATTTAAAAAAAAAATTACAAGCATTTTTTTTACTAAGATTTTTTTTATTCATATTTATTCTGTACTTTTATAATTATTACAATTAGTTAATAACAGTTAATAACAGTTAATAACAGTTAATAACTGTTAATAACAGTTAAAAATTGTATATTAATTTTTTTATATAGAGGTTATTCTCCTATTTTTTTTATACCTCTGGCCCCTAT